TGAACCAAAATTAAGATCTCACAATAGGCACTGAACCATATGTATAAACCATGAGAGTTTTGGATGGTACAATTTATGAAAGAAGAATCAATTGTCATTTAAATGTGGAACAATAATATGGTGGTCACTCAGAATGACACATAGGCTTCAAGATCTGGTATACGCCGTCACTCGCAAAATGAACCAAAATTAAGATCTCACAATAGCACTGAACCATATGTATAAACCATGAGAGTTTTGGATGGTACAATTTATGAAAGAAGAATCAATTGTCATTTAAATGTGGAACAATAATACGGTGGTCACTCAGAATGACACATAGGCTTCAAGATCTGGCATATGCCGTCACTCGCAAAATGAACCAAAATTAAGATCTCACAATATCACTGAACCATGTGTATAAACCATAAGAGTTTTGGATGGTACAATTTATGAAAGAAGAATCACTTGTCATTTAAATGTGGAACAATAATATGGTGGTCACTCAGAATGACACATAGGCTTCAAGATCTGGCATATGCCGTCACTCGCAAAATGAACCAAAATTAAGATCTCACAATAGCACTGAACCATATGTATAAACCATGAGAGTTTTGGATGGTACAATTTATGAAAGAAGAATCAATTGTCATTTAAATGTGGAACAATAATACGGTGGTCACTCAGAATGACACATAGGCTTCAAGATCTGGCATACGCCGTCACTCGCAAAATGAACCAAAATTAAGATCTCACAATAGCACTGAACCATATGTATAAACCATGAGAGTTTTGGATGGTACAATTTATGAAAGAAGAATCACTTGTCATTTAAATGTGGAACAATAATACGGTGGTCACTCAGAATGACACATAGGCTTCAAGATCTGGCATATGCCGTCACTCGCAAAATGAACCAAAATTAAGATCTCACAATATCACTGAACCATGTGTATAAACCATAAGAGTTTTGGATGGTACAATTTATGAAAGAAGAATCACTTGTCATTTAAATGTGGAACAATAATAGAGTGGTCACTCAGAATGACACATAGGCTTCACTCGCAAAATGAAAAAAATGCCGTCACTCGCAAAATGAGCCAAAATTAAAATCTCACAATATCACTGAACCATATGTACAAACCATAAGAGTTTTGGATGGTACAATTTATGAAAGAAGAATCACTTGTCATTTAAATGTGGAACAATAATACAGTGGTCACTCAGAATGACACATACTGTAGGCTCCAAGATCTGGCAAGTGCCGTCACTCGCAAAATGAACCAAAATTAAGATCTCACAGTATCACTGAGCCATATGTATAAACCATAAGAGTTTTGGATGGTACAATTTATGAAATAAGAATCATTTGTCATTTAAATGTGGAACAATAATACACTGGTCACTCAGAATGACACATATGCTTCAAGATCTGGCAAACTTATGCCGTCACTTGCAAAATGAACCAAAATTAAGATCTCACAATAGCACTGAACCATATGTATAAACCATGAGAGTTTTGGATGGTACAATTTATGAAAGAAGAATCAATTGTCATTTAAATGTGGAACAATAATACGGTGGTCACTCAGAATGACACATAGGCTTCACTCGCAAAATGAAAAAAATGCCGTCACTCGCAAAATGAGCCAAAATTAAAATCTCACAATATCACTGAACCATATGTACAAACCATAAGAGTTTTGGATGGTACAATTTATGAAAGAAGAATCACTTGTCATTTAAATGTGGAACAATAATACAGTGGTCACTCAGAATGACACATACTGTAGGCTCCAAGATCTGGCAAGTGCCGTCACTCGCAAAATGAACCAAAATTAAGATCTCACAGTATCACTGAGCCATATGTATAAACCATAAGAGTTTTGGATGGTACAATTTATGAAATAAGAATCATTTGTCATTTAAATGTGGAACAATAATACACTGGTCACTCAGAATGACACATATGCTTCAAGATCTGGCAAACTTATGCCGTCACTTGCAAAATGAACCAAATTAAGATTTCACAATATCACTGAACGATAATTATGTATAGATGTAAAACAAGAGTTTTTGACTGTAAAAATTTCAAAAGGAAAATCATTTGTCATTTGAAATGTAGTAGAATATTAAATAATAAATTATAGTGACCACTGCTTTGTCAAGTGCTGTCACCTGAAAAGTACAGTAGCCCCAAAGATCTAACATATTAACTCAGCTGTACAACAAGCCAAATTACTGAATTATGGACATGCTAAGGTCACATCACCGACTTATATTGGTGTAAAAGAAATGTTTGCCTGCACAGCTCAAGATCTGGCTACTTAAGATTATGCCATTAATGAAGACGATGTGCAACAAAGAGTACAGTTATTTCTGCAGTAAACAAAAAGGAATCAATCAATGGCATATCTGTGCATGCATCTTAAATTTTAAGATTTATCTTTGAGGTTTTAAGCTTACGCAAAGTTATTAGAAAACCAAAGTAAGTTAACGAACCACGATATCAAGAAGAACATACCTTTCTGCAATCCAGCTGAGTTGATGACTTGGAAACAGGCTTTATGTGAAGAATATCGCAACTGATCACTGTCTCTCGAAAATAACAAAGGTATAAATCGTAATAGAACAGCTGAATAGAAAGACAGGCTTTCTATTATCCGAAAATAACAAAACTACTCGTTTTGTAACGCTGTATTGCTTGAGAAGTCCGCGTGAATTTCAACTATTCAACGAAAGTTTATTTTACACTATTCTATTGGTTCAAAAGCAGCACGTGACAATGTAAATCAAATCGCGCATGTGGCAAAGTCACGTGGGAGCCGGGGAAACAACAAACATGGCGGCTAATCTTGCGATCGAGTGCATTCAGGACTACATTCACCCGGACGATGAAACTCTGCAATGTACTATTGAAATGACTCCTGGGTTCAAACCTTTCACATATTGAACGTTTTACGTCAGGGCCTCCTATTCCGAGACTTCTTGTGATATTTTTTTTTCCGAGCCACCGACCCAATATCAGGAAACGCATTCGACGCTAAACGAAAAAAAAAGGGGAATGGCCTTACCCGAAATAACTAGCTGCAGCAAGTAATATGATAAACTCTGAGAAGAATGTGATGGTGATTGAAACGGGGCAATGGAAAATCAAAACTTGCATGAAATAACACTGTGAAGTTTGGTAAATGTGCAAACGTTGGTTAAAGTGGTCGTAAAGATAGTTCTTTGATCATATTTTGCTTAAATTTACGCCTCTAGTAACCATAAATTTACACATTAACTTTGCTATGCCAGAAAATATCAAGCAAACATTCATTTTTGACGTTCGATTTTTACACAGAGAACAAAATGTCGGCAAATTTGAATCTAAACACCAAATTTACTATGGGGAGCAAAAGTGAAACAAAATATGTGTAAACTGGATATTTACTCCACATTTACGCCACCCTTGCAGAAAAGTAAACTTTCACTTTCGAACAAAATTTGCACCAAGAACAAATAAGTAGCAACATTAGTACCCTAAATTTACCATAGATTTGCTCAACTAGCAAACTTAGGCAAATCCGTTTTTTCGTCCAGTGTTAGTAAAATTAAAGTTGAAATCGGTTTCTCCAACAAGACACTTGTGGATTGCAATGCAGCGATGAAACAACCTTCTTGTGGACAGTGACTTCAAATCTAGACTTTTCAGTGCTTCAGTTGACGAGCTTCGGGGTGGTTGCCCCAGCATAACTTTAGCAGCTTTATTCTGTAGAATCTGTAATTCTGACATGATGGTGTCATTGTTCTTGTCCCCCCATATCGTCTCCGTAATCAAAAAGAGGGAGGATTAGGGCATTGTACAAGGCAACTCTAGCTTGTAGCGGCAATAGATTCCTGATTCTCCTAATTAGGCCTATTCTCTGATTAATCTTCATGCTGATAGCATCGACATGATCTGCCCAGGAAATAGACTGTTGAAGCGTTACGTCTAGTTATTTGAGTGATTGTGTTCTTTCAATGCTGGTGCCCTCTACTTTAACCGAAATGCCTTGAATACGATTCAGTTTCTGAGGACTTCCAAAGATAACAAAATTACATTTGGATATATTTAGTGTCAGGAGATTTCTAGAGAACCACTCAGACACTGTCCCCAAGTCAGCATTGATGTGATGTTCAAGATCACTGACGCTTTTGGATGAGTAATAGCGTACAGTATCGTCCGCATAAAGAATAATATCGCTTGCCAGGTGACAGTCCGGAAGATCATTCACGTAAATTAAAAACAATAAAGGTCCCAATATACTGCCTCGGGGTACTCCAATATGTATTTCGGTAGATGCAGAGTGAGCATCTCCAACTGATGTAATTTGAGATCTGTTTGTGAGGTACGATCTAAACCACTGGGTGGTAGAGGTGGTAAGACCGATGTTCGTCAATTTTTGCAGCAGCAGGGGATGATCCACTGTATCGAAGGCCTTAGACAGGTCCAGAAAAACAGCACCTGTAAAGGAACCAGCGTCCATATTCTGGAGGATATTGTCTGTGAAATGAGATAGGGCTGTTCCAGTTGATAACTTCGGCCTGAACCCAATTTGCTTAGATGTAAGGATACCATTGTTCTTAAGATAAGCGTACAGTTGGGTGTGCACGGCTTTTTCTAGAATTTTACTGATCGTTGGCAGCACAGTAATGGGTCTGTAATTGTTAGCATCACAGCGATCACCTTTCTTGAATAACGCTGCCACTTTTCCAAATTTCCAAAGAGAAGGAAAGGTGCGAGTTTCCAGGGAAAGATTAAATAATCTAGTAAGACTGACACTGATTACTGAGGCTGAATCTTTCAGTAGACGGGCACTGTTATTATCTAGGCCAATGGCTTTATTGGTTTTGAGCTGCTTAAGCTGACGAAGAACGATGTCTTCCGTAATTGGCTCGAAAGCAAATTCATGGGGTAGATTCGAGTTTACCGGAGGCGCCGAGTACATGTGGGATCCACAAGACTTGAGCTTTTGCGCCAATTTAGTTCCAATTGTTCAAAAGTGTTCATTCAGAATCTTGGCGATAGATTTATTGCTGGAGTATTGAACACCGTCGGCCTCAATGCAGGAGATGGGAGTTCTCTCTTTGCTAGATGTTATGTCGTTTAGAGTTTTCCATAATAAACTTGGATTAGATTTGTTTTCGGTAATAAGCTTAGAATAGTGTTCCGATTTACATCTCTTTGTCTTCTTATTTACGTAGTTCTTAAGTTCCTTATAGCGTGACCAATGATTTGCGGACTTTGTTTTCAGGGCTTTACGATGGTAATAATCTCGTTGGTGCATAGCTTCAGATACCTGTGCGTTTATCCAGGGAGAACGGACCCCTTTAATTCTTGATTTCCTCATCGGAGCATGACTATCGGCAACATGAGTAAAAAGATTGTTCCAATCATTTACCGCGGAGTCAATGTCCTGCTTGTTTAGAGCTTGGTTCCAGTCAATTTCTTTCAAGTCATTCACAAATTCCTGCTTTGAATAATGTTTGTATGACCGATATTCGATGGTTCTCCCTGGAGCCTTGGGAACACCTGATTTGATAACACAGAAGATCAAACAATGGTCGCTTAAAGGTGATGGAATAACGCCTCGGTCAATAACACGATGAGAAGTGTTAGTAAACAATAAGTCAATCAGTGTAAATGACGTTTCCGTTATCCTCGTTGATGTGTTAATTACTTGGTCAAGGTGATGAACATTTGCCACCTGGAGAAGTTTGCGCTTCTTGGCTTTATCATTATTTATCTCAGAGCTTGCAAAATTTATGTTGAAATCCCCGAGCAAAATAAGCTCAGTATATTAGATATTTCCATGAAAGTTTCTTTTGACAGTCTTATTGGTTTGTCAACATACAGGAATGAGTAGGTTGTTTGGTGGCTTTAATGTATTGATCCTTTGTCACATTCACCTCTCTAGAGATCATATTTCTCTCGTTACTGCTCGGGAAATCATGAACAACATAATGACTGCAGTTTCGTCTGATATCTTTTGGAGTTTTATAAAATGATTGTGAAAGGTAAATAACACCGCAGTTCTTTTGCCGGCCTTGAATGAAATAATCGATAAGCGGCTTTTGGTTTTTATCTCAAATGAAATCATCGAATATTACAATTTTCTGGGCATCACTTTCCAGACTATTGACAGGTTTTATGTCATCATTATTGCAGTGTATTATGTCATATCCAACCTGGCCACTAATGTCGTTCATTGTTTCTATCATGTGTCGATACTTTTCCTGTTCAAGGTTTTTTATCGTACAATTGGATCTGGTCATATAATATACTAATGGTTTCATAAGGATGTGATAAAGTAGATTGGTTTTGCCTGACCCTGAATTACCGCAAATAAGCATCCTAACATTGGATTTGGGCATAAACCAGTACAGCTGTTTGAAGTTTGTATTTTCATCTTCATTGAAATCATAATTTGGAATCTCCATTATACTATTATATTAGATAACTTAAAATAAGTTAAGATAAGTTTTTATATAACACAATAGTATAATGGATATCGAAAGATTCAGGAGACTCAGTATTCCTAAAATTGAAGCAGGAAAAACGACTGAAGTTGTTAGGGGTGTTAAAAAAGAAGTGCAAACTAATAAGCAGAATGTTTATGAAAAGACATCTGAAGATCTGAAACCTCTAACCGAAAAGTTTGATAAGGAGATAGAGGAGATCATTAAATTGAGAGAAGATGTTAATAAACAAGTTGTCCCATATGCTGAGCAAGTTCAAAGATTAGCATTACCAGGCCTAAGTGGTGAGGTGGCACCCAAAATGGTAGCTGATATGAATAAGGGATTCACCCAAGAAGAATTGGCATTCATACAAAACCAGTAATTACCCTTACCGGCTGACATTTTTTTACGAACCTTAAAGGAGCCAAATTATGCGAAAGAAATATTAGATAAATCTGGTGAAATGAATAAGGAGTTAGGCACGAAAAAAAAGCAGAGGATTTCGTAATCAAATTTGATCCAGTTTTAAAACTCCAAAATGATATGACACACGAAATAGCATTGGATAAGGTCACTATGACCTACAGTTGGCACAACATTTCAGATCAGTATCAAATAACAAAACAAAATACTCAACTGATGGCTGAAATTCATGGGAAACCGTCAGCTTTATTGATGGGATGCACATTTATTCAGACCTAAATGACTATCTCCATCAGTACATGAAAAAGAAAGGCAATTTTACTACCAATGAGAAAAAGGATAAGGTGTATTACATTAACCTAACATTTGTATTGTCCACATATAAGATTCTCTTTCAGATCGACAACAATTACCAACTGGATCTGAGAAACAGTAAACTTGGCGAGTTAATTGGATTTACAGAGAAAATTGTGAAGAAAACAGAATACGGGGATGGTAATCTTCCCAATATCACAAATTCTATCGATATTATTTATATCAATATAATACAGATGCCATTACAAACAGTATTTTGAAGGGCGTTAACACCAATACTTTAGCTGTTATTCCAACTGACAATTTAACAAGAGGTTTTCCATTTACATTTGAACCCAGAAGACTATTGTTTAATGAAGTTTCGCAGCTTAATATCTCACAAATGAGGTTTTACGTCACAGACTCTTTGGGACGACTAATTGGTCTAAATAAGATCGACTGGTTTATGACCCTAATATTGCGATCCAAACCAGTATAATATCTAACCTAATAACATACAATGAAACAATCAGAATTCAAGAAACGTTATGATGTCAAAATGGGGAGATACGTTAAGAGACACATTTATGGGGAAGGTGTTGCCGATGTTTTCAAAACGATTGGTAGAAAGTTGTTCGGAAAGACGATGAAAGAAGCTGTTAAAACAGCAACCAAAAAGGCCGTTCAGAAAGCCGCTACCAAGACTGGTGAATATGCTGGCGAAAAAGCGGGCGATAAAATTATTCAGTTATTAAGCAAAATGAATAAAACACCAGTAGCGCCATCTCCGATAAAAAATCCACAAACAAGTGAGCTGAGCGATTACGTGATTAGGTAAATCAATTATTATCTGGGGGAAGAATGAGAAAATTTATCTAATCTATTGATATATGAAATCATTTAGGAATCCAAAATATGTTGAACGATATGAAGATGTTATTTTTGGCCTAGAAACAGCACTAAATTAAATACAACTGTCGCCAGTAATGCAAACCAGAAAAATGATGGCTACAGGTTTGTTGTTGATAACAGCGGAGAGGTTACACCATTCGACTGGTATAATGCTCGAATCAGTATGGACTTCAAAGTAAACTTGCTGGCTAATGTAGCTAATATTGCAGTAAACGATCATAATGGAATTGTGAATGGGTCTTACTCATTCTTGAAACATTTTGATATTAAGCTCAATGGCAAAAAAGTGTACGATTGTAATGATGCAAATCACGCCGTTAATATTAAAAATTTACTTGACTACAGTCTGGCTTACGCTGAAATAACTGCTAGTAATGAGTTTTTCTTCCTTGATACATCCAGAAATGCGGGAGAGCGGGAATTTGAAGTTAGTGGTACAAAACAGTTAGCCAAAAGGCGAGCAGCTTACAATAAAGGTTTTGCCCTTCGAAAAGCACTCCTGGGTACCTCATCCACAGTAAACACTGAAATACCTCTGAACCGATACTCATTCTTTGAAATGTTAGGAGATGAGCTGTTACCCAATTCAAGGGTTGAGATGAATTTTGAAATTGAGTCAGGTGGTAATCTAATTTGGCAAGCCGGGGCTGATTGCAGAGTGGCTATCCCCAGGATGCAGTCGTATGTTCCGCGGATAACTTTTAACAGTAAGGGCCAATCATCCTACATGAGCCAATATCTTAAAAATCATGCGTGGTCAGAAGTAAATACAAAAACACCCAGCTTGCTACACGAAATTGCAAATGAAGTTATTTGGAATAACAAGCTTCTCTGCATTAATAAGAAATCTGTGTATCGTAGAGATATTGCAGATTTAGGGTTTTTAAAAATTTGCGATTTATTTTCAACTAAAGAAAATCTCAATCCTGAGCAAGGTTTCTTCATTATGGGTATTATTAACTCTATGCCTGCCAGTTGGCGCTTGACAATTAAAAGGGCAACTACTGCACCGGTGATTGATCCACTTCCGGATTCACCTGCTATCCTAATAAGTAACAATTTGGTTCCAATTCTTGATGCTTCCTCAAAGCAAATCTACCGGCTTTTCCTGGAGAAAAAACAAACAACGCCTACTGCTAAAGTAAAGTTAGCTGCAAAGAATTCTATCATTGATATTGATTGGAAAAGTGTTTATTCGCTATCTTTTCGCACAACATTAGAATCTAAACTTAGAGAATTTCAGTTTAAAATTTTAAACCGTATTGTCTTTACAAACGAAAAACTGTTTCGTTTCGGCATGGCTGAGTCGCCATCCTGTGCTTTCTGCCAAACAGAGGTTGAATCCGTAGAGCATTTACTCTTTTCCTGTAGAGTATCATCTAGTTTTTGGAAACATGTCTTGTCCTGGTTGCGCGATAATAACATCTCTGTTGATAACCTTAAAGAAGAGGACGTCATTTTTGGTAAGTTCGATACTGCAGAAGATTTTCTCCTGTTTAACCATATCTTGCTTCTGGGTAAGTTTTATATTTACTCTCGGAAATACCAGAATGGTATACCTTCTCTTCAAGGTTTTATAGCCGGGACAAGGCGTATTTACAACATCGAACTCCATATTGCCAGGAAACGAGACAAATTAAACAATCATTTTAGAAAGTGGGAAAAGTTAATAAGCGTTTTTATGAATAAGTGATGTTATGATTAATTTCAATAATTAGTTTAAAGTGATGTCATTGTAATTTACATACTAAGTAACTGTATTGCTGCAATAGCTTTGTTTAGCTTTGTATTCTTTTGTTTGTATGTGCATGTGTGTGTGTGTGTGTGTGTTTCTCTTTCTTAATTTCTATTTTGTGTGTAAACGTAAGAAATGCTTTAATTAAAAAATATTAAAAAAAACAACAACAAAAAATTAAAAATCATAAGTGGACTTCTTTAAGAGAGAATATAGAAAGATCAAACAGTAGCCGCCAGAGAGCTGGGCATTTCAGAATATCAACTGGTATCTCAAAACCCAGACATGTCTTTGTGTTTATAATAAATGATGCAAATATCGATGCCCAGACAGCCAATCCATTCTTGTACGACACATTCTCTGTCACAACGGACCCAAGGACCTTATCCAATTGTCATCTGGAAGCTGGAAACGGTAACGAATACCCCGAGATACATTACACACTAACTACTGATATGACCCGTGTTTACAGGGATGTGTTGAAGTATGTTCACAAAAATAATGAATACGGTGAAGGGTCATTACTCAATAAATCTAATTTTAGTACCCTGTTTCCTTTCTTATATTTTGACTTAACAAAACAGAAAATAGATATTAAGGACGGCACCACAAAACTGACATTCAAATATGAGCTATCTGGAACAACGGCAACAGCCTAGGGACCAGTCATAATTTAAGTTGGAGGGAGGGGGGTGGGGGTGGAGGAGAAATCGTTTTTTATCCCAAATTATTTCCAGACCCCTACTCAATAGCGCCCATATTTTTAGGTACCCCCCCTTCAATCATGTTAAAAGATTTAAGGGTCCCCCTTTCTTACATAATACCCAAAAGGTAATAACAAATAACATTCTCTTTACTCGTTCTGACTCACTGTCACTTCCGAATGTGCCAACTACTTAATCGTCATCTGAGAGTGATTCGTCATCTTGCTGGTCGGCATAGGACATGGAGTCTGCCATTTCCAACTGTTTCTTTTTTATAGAATTAAGCTCATTATTTCGCAGTACATGGCAGCTGATGGTTTTTATTTTGTCACTTTTTTTTACCATACTTGCCAAGTACATGGGCAGTTAGATGTTTCTTAAGTTCTTTGACAGTTAGTTGTTGCAATGTTCGTTTTAGAGACATGTCTAGCCAGTCATACTCATTGTATGTTTTTAAGTCTCGTTTGCTTTTGTCGGTTTGCCTCTGAGTCGACCTGGTGGATTCTTTGAGTCTCAGTGTTGTCAGGTGCTCCAGATATGAACGCACGTATTTTTCATCAACAGCGAACTTTGTTGCCTATTTTGTGGCATCTGTATCATTGAAAGTTATTTCTGATGAATTAAACAAGCGTTTCGACTGAGCCCTTGGCTGCCAGTCATCAGGATCTCTGCGGCTACCATCATCATTTCTCTTAAGACAAGCCATCGAAAGGTTAGAGGCTGACAGGACCACTTCAAGGAAGAAAGAAGAAAATCAGCCAAAGCTTACTGCTTTTTATATGAGCAGTACATGCTCTAATAGCAAAAAACTTGACAGTGACACAAACAGTGAGTCCACATCAACCTCATCTACAAATAATGATTCGGATAGTGAGATTGCATAACATGACTTTATGCATGTAATCATTTGTTAAAATGCCCATGAAATTGTTTCAGTGTTACACAATAATGGATGTTGTGCTGATGCACCTACTATTTGAGCATTAAATCTTTTTTGTCAAAATGCTGATTAAATTGTTTTAGTATTACACAATATAGGACTTTGTGTAAAACTGAATCAAAATCAGGTCCTTTAATACTCAAGCATTATGCTGCTCAGCAGGGATGCTACTTAAAAGAAACTTAAACCCCCCCCGGGTCATCTTTTGGCATTTTAAGGCCCCCCATATTCCATCCAAAAAATTGAAGGCCCCCCAGTTTCTGCTCCACTCCCCCCCTCTAACTTAAATCATGACTGGTCCCCAGTATTCTATTTACGCATTAACTCTCTACGAGCAAGATGTTGAGCTAATCCAGAAAGATGGCAAAATAATACTCAGATCATAAATTATGTAACCATATATTATATACAAGTAATGACAAAATATTATTCTTATGGTGTGTCACTTAGTAAAGGCAGGAGCCCATAACCCGGAGCGTCTAACTTCCATACTGCGCCTATGCAACGGCGTTTTCACAAGTAGATTTATTTTTAGATAAGCCTTTCCTGCGAATTGCTTTCGAAAAGCCAATCACTAGCAATTGCGTCATCAATGATAAACTTTTAATACGTAACTAGGACAACTCCTTCACATTGAAAAAAAAAAAGGGCAGACACACATGACGAATCTTCAGAGGAGTCTTCTGACAGTAATTCAAGCGACAATTTCAGTGTTTACACGGAAACTAGCAGTTCAGAGCAAGATTTGCAAAACCTAGCCAGGACGTCTACGTCATTGGCGACAACGCAAAATTCACACAAAGGGAGTTAAATCGAAATCATCTTCGAAATAGCCGACTGTGAAAAGGTCCAAGCGAGCTACTAACAGTCTAAACAACGATCAAATGGAGCAATTGACCTCGTGGAACAGTTATTTTTCGCGGGAAAAGCTTATCTAAAAATAAACTCACTTGTGAAAACGCCGTTGCAGGAATTTATGGCAGTTGAACGCTCCGGGTTATGGGCTTCTGGTAAAGGACAATTGGAAAAGCTTTCGCGAGCTTACAATAATAATTCAGCAATAACAATCAGACTTGCCAGAAATGAGTTATCCGTACCACATGAATTAATGCTCACAAAAACTCAGGACCCACTTACTCGAAGCATGGTTAGCGTTAACCAGCGTTTAATACCTTGACAACGTATTGGTTTTGATACTGCTTAACCAATGGTTAAAGCTAACCATGCTTTGAGCAACTCAGCCCAGAGCAATAAATTGAGAAAAGCAATGAGTCAGGGTACAGGGTCGGATATCAAAATATCAAAAACACAAATTAGAAAGGCCATTAAACACGGTGGTAGTTTGTGGGCATCATTAATCAGTTTAGGAAGCAAGTTGCTACCTATGGCCCTGCCACTAGCCAAAAAAGCTATCGCACCGCTTGCAGCAGGTGCATTATCAGGTTTAGCTAGTTTCGGTATGGATAAAATATTCGGAAAGGGTCAACGGGGAGGTTTTCTTATTCCACAGGATAAAATAGCACAATTGATAGCGTAGAAGCATTTACTATCCGCAGGTCAGAAAAAGGATATTCTTAATGCTCTCAAAACAGGCAGTGGATTGATTATCAGACCAACGAGAACGCAGAGCGGCGGATTTCTTGGTACTCTACCAGCGAGTATAGGGGTCCCACTGTTACTAAACGCATCAACAGGAAAGGGTCTCTAAGCTGACAGTACTGGTTCCGCTAATACAACGACAGTTTATGTACCTCCTAGTGTAACAAGTAATCACAATGGCCATGGAATGATAACCCCGTACCCTTATATGTCACCACCCTTTTTTGGAACATGGAATAACCCAGTCGGTATGGGAGTAAAAAAAAAAAGAAAGGGAGAGGGACTGCTGCTCGGCAAAAACAGTCCCTTCAATTCAATCCCAATTCTAGGAACAATACTATAAAGTTCATAAACAAACCATTGTCAAATATTGATTTGTTACACTGGGTTACACAATTGGGAATAAAATATTTTAGAGGTATCTACAGCCGCGATCATTTAGCAAATAAAATACACAAATTGGAAACAGGAATAATTAATCTGGATGATTCAATGGGCGGGGGGAGTCATTGGGTTTGTTATAGAAATGTGGAAAAACAATATTGTGAATATTTTGACCCGTTCGGATTGATTATGCCCAATGAGATAAAAAATTATCTGAAAACAAGCGGTAAAAAAATTCTGTACTCATCAGATAAAATACAAGAAAGGGACAGTGTTTTGTGCGGTTATTGGTGCTTATATTACGTTCTGGAGAGACAAAAAGGTAGATAATTATTTAATGTTATTCACAACGCCAAATTCAGTTTCACAGATCAAATGATAAATCACCAATTTCTGATAAACTATTTTATGTAATCCTATTATATAAAATGTCAGAAAAGTTCTGTGTGTACTGCCAAGAAGTTACTCCGCATTATGTAACAACAACAACAAATGCTTTATTTGCATGACCATAAATGAATTACAGTATTGCAAAAGCTATTAGTCTAAATTTAAGAACTAATGCAACTAATTAGGACGTGCAAAACATTACAAAACGTTACAGTTCTCATTCATTCATTCATTCATTGATATTAAATTGGTTCTTAATTCAAAGCATTGCGAGATAAATAAAACTAATTGACAGTTAATCAAATAATCAGAAGTATTCATAAGAAGAGATATTAAAGTATCGTGTGAAAGTGATTTAAAGTCAGGTATTTTAGTTTCTAGTTTGGAGAAAAATGTGTCTCTGATCTAAGAATAAGCCTTCTCAAACTCATTAATAATTCATTAAGAAAATACAAAGGAAATTAATGTTTAATGAGTGTTTGGAAATCGGATGAAACACTGCTTAGTATTTGCATCCTTAATTTCTCCTTCAAAAATGATTTTGTTTGAGAAGAAATATCAAACATTCGACACAGTGTTTCATCACCAGATGAAACACCTCGAAGTTCGTCAAAAATACTCCGCTGCGCGTCGTATTTTCAACTCTCTTCTCGGTGTTTCATCTGGTGATGAAACACTGCATCTCATGTTTGATATATTACATACAATCTAGTGAGAAATGATTTTCATCCTCAATTTTGTTACCTGTACAAAAGTAACATATCCTTTCATCGCGAGGGATTTATGTAAATGATAATGGATGTTTCGAGTGCTGCAACAGCGAGCCCTTGAGTGAGAGTGATCATGAGTCAGATAGCAGCCATGATACTTATGTTCTAGACAGTAGTTATGGTGAATAAATAGTATTTATCATCCCATAATTAAAAAAAAAAAGCTACACCCCCCAAAACAGCGGGTCCTGGTCTCAGACCATTTTTATATAACATACATATATAATAATGGTGAAATCTTATTGTGATAAACAGAAAAATCAAACAGAATGTGTAGAGCCTTCGTGCTATAAAACTGCCAAAAATGCTAGACTTATGTTTTGGTGCACTTGCGCTAAATGCGGAGTAAAAAAGTTTAAATTTGTGAAGAAGGGAAACTAATTGGACCCTCTCAAGCAGGGGGCGATTTATTTGACACCGCTGTAGGAACCGCTACTGATCTGTTTGTCCACCACGGGCTTCCTTGGATGGGTAAAAAAGCAGTTGAAATGGGAAGATATTATGGTTCCGAGGCGCTCAGAAACCCAAAATTACAGAAAAAAGCTATAGATTACGCTCTGGAAAAATTGAGTCCGACGATCCACAATGTCGGATCTGAAGCTCTTAACCAATTATCAACCAAAATACGACCAAAGAAAAACTATGAAACAAACAGGAAAGATTTGGATGGTGGTGCTTTGGACATCCACAAGGCCATTGGAAAATTACCAAGACCAGCAAGCGGATGGACCTTACCAGGATATAAATATACAGGACCTTATAATGATCTTGAAAACCAAGTAAAATACAATCCAGAAACTGGTGAAATATCAGAAATTTATGATCAACCAACTGGGCCGACAGATGCAATAGCAATGCAGCACGATGTTGATTATAGTCTTTGTGGTGATAACCGAAAGTGCAAAAATAAAGCTGACCGTAAAATGGTAAAATCATTAGACGCCGTACCTTATAATGAAAGGCAATGGGGCCACTGGTTAGCTAGAAATCTAATAAACACAAAACAAAAACTCGGACTTGGTTTAAACTAGAAAAGCTGTCGCGTATTAGTTGGCAACAGCAATTAGCGGAAGAATTACCTAAACCAATAAAGCGCAACTTTACACGGCGGCGTATTATTACAACCGGTATTGACAAGATTTGGTGCTCAGATCTGGTTGAAATGCAACAGTTCAGCAAATGGAACAAGGGTTACAGATACCTTCTCATGGTACTGGATCTATTCTCCAAATATGGCTGGATTGTCCCACTGAAGGATAAGAAAGGGGAAACTGTCACGAAGCATTTAAAACCATCTTCAAGGAGGGCCTTAAACCACAATATCTTTGGACTGATAAGGGGAAAGAATATTATAACAAAAATATGAAGGAACTGTTGGAAAAGAATAATATAACATTATATTCAACCGAGAATGAGGAAAAATCTAGTGTCTGTGAAAGATGGAACCCTACAATTAAAACCAAAATGTGGAAGCCATTTACTGTCCACGGTAATACCCAATATCTTGACATACTACCAAAAATACTGAGCCAGTATAATAACGCCAAACACAGTTCCATTAAGATGACTCCTGTAGAAGCTAGCAAAAAGAAGAATGAAAGTACTGTGTATTACAATCTGTATGGTGATATGGAGCAATTGTCATCTAAGCTCAAATTCAAGGTTGGTGATAAGGTTAGGATAAGCAAGTGCAAGAGAAAGGTGTTCGATAAAGGGTACACACCTAATTGGACTGAAGAGATATTCCTGGTCGATAAGATCCAATCCACAAACCCAATTACTTACAGATTAAAGGATCTCAATAATGAGGAAATACAAGGCAGCTTTTATGAACCAGAATTACTGCCGGTAAAGCAAGATGTATTTCGCATTGAAAAAGTGATTCGGAAGGATTATAAGAAGAAACAAACTCTTGTGAAATGGTTGGACTACAGTGATGACTTTAATAGCGGGATTCCACTGAGCAGCTTACAAGATTTATCTGACTAATAGTATATGGAAGGTCATATAAGAAAGCTTGATACTAAAATCCAGAGTAAGGAAACCGAGCTTAATGCACTCTACACTAAAATCCAAAAATTGGAAGAAGAGATTGCCACATTACATCACAAGAAATTACTCCCCAAAAAGTGGAAACAGCTGAAATGTCATTAACCGGCGTCCTAAATGCGATCTTTGGAACTGAGGAAGAGGAGGAGAAAGAGTAAGGACATTGTAAGATGTTAATTCCAGCGTCCCCAAAATGGGTGCCGTGGGTCCAAAGTGTTGCCCCGTCAAAATGAAGGGTCAACAAAATACCTCAAATGTTGCCGTGGACGTTTCGCCCCCTCAACAGAATGATAGTGGAGGGGAACAAAATGAGACAGATTTGTTGGGGGTGTCAAAACGACGCCCCAGGTCCAATGTGCTGAAACGGCACCTCAGACCTAACCATATTTCTTAATCTATCATATATACCATTTTATTGGTCTGTATGATAGAAAATTATGTAACCTATATATATGGTATATATAATCAAGGTTTTCTGGTGTCAACGTGGCATTTTTATTACTGTTTAGTTTCGTACCGCACGACATGTACGGCACTCCTCAGATAAAATTGCCAACAAAAAGTTCGTTACAAACATATGCTAGGACTACAAACGAGCGCGCGGAATTTGAATAAAAACTATTGGGTGCCAACGGAAGATGTAAAGCTGCTAAGGAGGAATTTACGCGCGTGCCTGCAGGAAGTTACAAGTTCATTTGGTTTGTTCAAGCTCGCCAGATCGGCTCTGCAAATAATGAAATACTTTCCCCACAGGCACAAATTACAGCGATTTGAAGCGGGATTAAACTGCGCGGCTTGCTTTAAGATCTTCCAAGTTAAGCTAAATCTGATCTTAACGTCTTTCAAGTGCCAGATGTGCTTACTGAGTTCCGTACTGAGTCTCTTGTTTGGGTCTCTGAAAGAAGACTTATGGTTCGAGTATCTGGTCTTAAAAGAGTTCTCAGTAAGGCCTACATAGGTCTCGGCTGGCCTGTTGTCCTCCGTTGCTACTCTGGCTTGGTAGATCACAGCTGATTTTAAGCAATTACCGTCCAGAGGGCAATGAGCTGGTTGACGGCAGTTGCAAGTTTTAGGTGGCTTTAGTGGTTTTCTAGCAGCTTTACATCTTCCATTGGCACGCAATAGTTTTTATTCAAATTCCGCGCGCGCGTTTGTAGTCCTAGCGTATGTTTGTAACGAACCTTTTGTTGGCAATTTTATCTGAGGAGTGCCGTACATGCCGAGCGATACGAGACTAAATAGTAATAAAAACGCCACGTTGACACCAGACAACCTTGATTATACTACGCTCTAGTCCTTCTATTGAGCACTTTGCTGATAGCCGTGCATATAAATCAGCTGGTATATATGGTATATATGATAGAAAAGAAGTATATCAATCAAGATATGAATATTGAGCTGACTTCATATATTGATAATAAGCAAAATGTTTGGTTTAAGGGTAAAGATATCGCTCAGATCCTTGGTTATAGTGATACTGATCAGGCTATTAGAAAACATGTATCTGAAAATCACAAAATAAAACACAGCTATAGGCAACCCGTCGAAACGATGGGATGGTCTGAAACCTATTTTATTGATGAAGCCGGTTTTTATGAACTTGTTTTTAGCGCAAAATTAGAAACAGCAAAAAAGTTCCGCGATTGGGTATTCACACAAGTCCTCCCATCAATCCGTAAAAATGGCCAATACAAACTGTTTGACAGTCCCTGGAATAAGATGATTATGATTGGCAATAAAACTGACCTCCATTATAAAGTAGTGGACCTCATAAGGAGATATTATCCAGATTCCATATTAGTGGCCGGTCTGGGTGAAAATCAGGATACTGAGGATAATAGACTAGATTCATTTAAAAAGGGATATACGAGAGGACAGCCTGATCTATTAGTACTTGATTATCACAAAGATTATAAAGGCCTAGGTATAGAATTCAAGAGTCCTACAGGTAACTACTATGTATCAGAAGCCCAAAAGGAGATGAAGAAGAAGTACGTTAATAATGGCTATGCATTTATACTCAGTAATGATTACGATAGAATCTGCAAAAATATTCATGAGTATATGAAAGGCATCAGAGTACCGTGTAAGAGCAGTTGTCTGTAAGATTCGAACTATATTGAAAAGTCGCTGCCACACTATCTCACCGAATTGGCTAAAAAGTGGCATGTAGATTTGATTTGGGGTCTTTAATAAGGAATTGGTAACTTTAGATTCTAACTCCTCCCATTTCGGAAATTATCGACATGGCCGGTTTTTGGGTGCTTCGGACCGGCGCCATATTGGTTAATAGAAACTGTTTTTGAGCCTTCGACTACAACCCTGTCTTCAAAGCTAATCTGCCTTTGCCGATACACATAGAGAGAACTATCCCTCTTCATTGTATTTTTGGAAACTACTTGGAAATTGATAACGTTTTCGCAACGATCGATTAAACGTTTGGTTGGTATACTTTTTTAGTTTTTTACATCTGCAAAATTAACAGAAATTCAAAGGCGTATATCTACGGTGGCCCAGAAGGGTCACACATGCAAATTAAAAATATTGCTGCAACTTAAAAATAGTACATGCAAACTAAAAATTGTACATGCAAACTAAAAATATTACCTGCAAATTAAATGTAGTAGATGCATACTAAAAATTGTGCTGCAAATTGAAAATAGAAAAGATATCGATGCAAATTAAAAATGAAAAGTCCTGCGCGTGCAGTATGAGTGATGAGGACCTGGTGCGAGCCGTGCGACCTGGCCTTACATCCGTCGGCCCATCCATGTTTCATGTTTGTAATATGTTTAGTTTGCATGTACAATTTCTAATTTGCATGTCCTATTTTTAATTTGCATGTGTGACCCTTCTGGGCCACCGTATATATCTCTCTTGCAACATCGCATTGAAGCTTGCCACTCTGTCTGAATACTCATTGTTTGTAGTTAAATCGAGTGCGTTAATAAAAAAAATTGGACAAATTTAACGGAGCAGAAACAAAAGTAATGAATGAAAGAGTGTTCTAGCGATTTTGTCATTAAGCTTTGCACCGAATACTCGCCAAGTGTAAACAAAATGCAACTGGAATTTTCCTGATTTTCCTCCACTTCCTTTATCGAACGAGAGCTTTTAAAATTAACCATAATAATGACAATTGCAATGTATTACCTTACTCGACGACAAAGATGCCAATTTCCATCTTGATCGAAAAAAAGTAATCTTTTCCCTCGCATATCGCGGGTCGTCACGTTCCTTGCATGGCGTTACAACTTACGTGAAACCGCCTGGTTTCAAACAACTGAATTGAGGAATCCGTGAAAATCTTAGCCAGGCAATAAATAATGGAAGTTGATATAAGTCATTATTATTAATCAAGAATGAATACCTATTCAGAGGAATTTCACAGTTTACAATGGATGATGTTCCTAATACTTCTTTTCTAATAGCAAAACCTTTGTTAAATGATGGTCTTCTTTTAGCTAATTGATTAGTTCCACTTACCATAAATTCATCTGCTGAAGGATTAATTGAGGTGTCGAGAAAGTAAAATTCGTTTGAAGCAATACTATCAGCGTATTGTCTATCATATTCAAGCAAATTTTTGATATTTATAACTTCATTTGCATAATTACAATCATAAACTTCTCGCCCATTAATACTAAAACTAATTGAATGAGCGCCATTTACCATTCCGTTATTATCATTAACTCTTACCAAGTTTCCGTTTAATGCTGTTAGTTTAAAGCTTATTAATAGTCTGGCGTTATACCAGTCAAGTGAGGTTTTATTAACAAAAAATCCAATTACATCTCTTTTTTGATAAGAATTGTTAGCTGGATTATCAAGATCTCCTTCAGGATAAAAAAAAACTTCTTCATACCTATTAATGTTGTTTGAACTCATTTTATGTAATGGTTATACAAAGCGAAGCGAGCCCAAAGCAAAGCTCTAAGCTCTAAGAAGTAGCTTTCCATCTTCTTGTTTTATTTCTGCCTCTCGCTCGTGAAGAACAACAGCATAAAAGTTATAATCAGCGTCTGGATTGGCTGATAGTTCGAAATGAAACGCTAGCTTTGTTACTCCATCTTTGATGTCCATTTTTTGTTTTGTTAGATCAAAGTAAATAATTGGATAAACTTTTTTGTAGGTGCCCATATCGAGAATTGTTCCACCTTGAAAGTCGTTGTTAGCGTGAACATACTCCAATAGGCCTCTAAAAACTCTTGTTAAATCTGTAGACGGTTTATAGTGAAAATCAGGATATTCGTTTCCATTTCCAACCTCGAGATAACAACGTGTTACGTTAGCATTGTTTGGTAAATTACCAAAAGTATGATATATAAAGGGATTGGCTGTTTGTGCGTTAATTCTTGCTGTGTTGATAGCCCAAACAAATACATGGCGTGGTTTTGAAATAGCTGTTGTAATTCTGTAATGGCCTGTTTGTTGCTGTAGATTATTTGATGTATGAATTACTTCATTAAGATAAGTCCATTTGTAAGGTTTAAGATAATTTTCCATGTATAACTTTTGACCTTCTGCGTTAAAAGTTAACTTTGGAATATATAACTGAAGTCTTTTTATAATAACTCTACAGTCGGCTGCACCGTGAAATATTAAATTTGCATCGCTCTCGATTGCAAAATTTAGTTCAATTTTTGTGTTAGGAAGTAGTTTGTCTTCTAATGCTTCAAAGAAAGAGTACCTATTAAGAGGTATTTCACAACTGACTTCAACTGAAGTACCTAGTACTTTTTTCCTTAACCCTATTCAGACTGGGCTTTTTTGGTCAATCTGTGACTGGGGGGCTCCTCAGACCCCCCCTCTGTATCTCTGGAACCAATAATGCTAGGGTCATGAAATTTACACACAACGATCATCTCCGTACAAAGAAGCCCCACACCCAGTTTTGACTTGCCACGCCCAATGATGACGTCACAGTGACGTCATATTCCGATTTTTCAATGTTTCTTATTATTTTTCCACTTAGATACGTAAAATATCAATAATATTGGTAAAGTCATCTCTTTGTTATCCTTTCTTATGAACTAGTAACAAGGAAACACTTGTACAGCGAGAAAAAGCAATAGGAAGCAATAAAATTTAAAATTTGAAATGATTGTCCGCCATCTTGGATCCGCCATCTTGGATTTCCGTTTTTTTGTTAACATTATAATTTAAAGCAACTTTCAAAGGGGAAAAAGCTCAGAATGTATAAAAGAAGTATCAAACTAATGTTTATTACCCAAACAAATGACTTTGGAAGTGTTATTTGGAAAATAGAGCAGCATATTTGTCAAAGCAAAAAAGTGACAAATTTTACCCCACCCCTCCCCCCCAAATATTCGATGTTGAAACATTTTGATGTAATTCAAAAACTAGTCCCAAGCAAAGACCATTTTAACAACAAAAAGCACTATAAGTGTAAAAACGCGATCTTAAAACAAAAAAAATCACCATCTTTTAAATTTTCCAAAACCTATGTGTCAGAAACTGGTTGCCATGGCAACATGATTAATCACATGGACATGGTAATTATACCAAAATGTTCCTAGATAAATTTTAGGAAAAGTCAGAAAATTTGAACGTCATAGCTCTTTCGGTGTAGGAGTTATCACGTTTTTGCCGGAGGGGGGGGGGGTTCGAAAAGCCCCCCCCCCAGTCTGAATAGGGTTAAAGCAAAACCTGTATTAAATTCTGCATTAGTAGGATCTCTCTGTGATTCACGCGTAGTATCAGGATAGTAAAATTCTTTGGCTCCAATACTTTTTGCATAAGAGGGGGAGTACTCAAGCAAATTTTTAATATTTGCAACATGATTTGCTTCATTACAACTATAAACTTCTTTTCCATTTGCCAGGATAGTTAATTTTTTTATAAATGAGTTAGAACCATTTACAATTCCGTTTCTGTCAGCAACTGCTATATTTCCTCCAGCTAATAGTCCTACTTTAAAATCCATTGACATCCTCGCGTTATACCAATCAAATGGAGTGGCCTCTCCCTTATTATCAGCGATAAATTTAAGGTTTGGAGCTCTAACTTGTGCGGCGTTATTAGCTGGGTCTGCTGTATTTATTCCTTGTTCAAGATCAAATATAACATCTTCACATCTCTCAAGATATTTTGGGTTTCTGAACGATTTCATTTTGCCAAGTAAACTTTTATATTAATAGTTATATAATTTTCTTAAGTTTTCCAAATATTGGTTATATTCCTTTTCCTTCATTTTACGACTTGTTTTTTTGGAGGTAGGGGGATTTTCACGAGAAAGTATTTTTACTATTTTATCACCCGCTTTTTTGTCGGCAAAAGTCACTTTTTTGGGAGGTAAAGGTGGAGGCGCAAGCGGTTTACGCATTGAGGATTTACGAGTTGGTTTAAAAAAGGATTTTACTGAATCCATTATTCCTTCTCCCCAAATGTGTTGTTTAGTGTATTTTCCCATTTCTGGGTCGTATTTTCTTTTAAACTCTGATTGTCGCATCATTTTATCTATAGAATTATAACAAAGAATTTTCTTCAGTATGGCGAAGCAACAACGTCATAAACCAATCAAGAACGTTGAGGTCAATACTCTTCCCGAGTGAATCAGTGATTTATATTCTCATTTCAGAAATATAATTAGAACTCACAGGGCAGTACAATTGCCTCCTTGGTTCGAAAGTGAATGGAAAACTCCTCGTAAGATTATCAGTTGGAATAACGGAAATTGTGTTTGTATTTACTCCATTTACAACGGAGTCTTTTATAGCGGTTGTGTTTATGTTTAATGAGTCAATCGATTTTGTAATATTAGGGGGGCGTGTTCCATTGTCTGTTTTAGTCACCAGTTTCTTTTCAAACCCGATGAGGTCTCCAAAATCTGTTCCCCTTAGATCAAGTTGATAATCACCATCAAGTGATACCAGTACTCGATACGTACTCAGAATAAAAGTCAAATTAATTGAATACACCTTTGCTCCTTTGGAGTCTGTTGAATGATGAGACTTTTGATCCATGTATTGATGGATATAATCATTTATATCAGAGTAGGAACACATTCCATCTGTAAAAGTAATTGTATGCCATGTTGATGCATCATGGGTGTATTTGAGGGTATTGTTTTTGTGATCACTTCTGATGTTGTACCAAGAGTATGTCATCGACAACCTGTTCAGGGCGAGAAAATGCCTGTATTCTGGGTCAAGTTTCAAAGGAGAATTGAATTTAACTATAAAATCATGGGGTTTGTTTGTTCCTATGGCCTCTCGTTTAACAGAGGAAATATGAATCACGCTTTCATTCATTTATTATATATTTACATACTTTTTTAACATTTTATTAAGCTGTTTATTAGAAATAACTCCAAGGTCTCTAAGACGATGAGCAATCTGAATGTATTCAGGCAATACACTATTGTTTCCTGCAGCAAGAGACACGCCTAATAATTCAAGTCTGTTTAGTAGTTCTTGGGGGTTGTATTGTTGAATATAATTGGACTTTTCCAAATTCCTGTGCCTGTTTGGTATCTATAGTTTAATTGCTCTCTAAAAGTATTTCTATAGTTTTTAAGATCTTTTTTATATTTACTAAATCTTCTTATTTCATTTTGGTATTCTGGAGTTGGATTTTTTTTTTCTTTTCATTCCATTAATTCTTCCTGTTACAGATTGCACTTGTTGGTCTAATTGGGGGGATAATTGTGTTAAAAAGCGTGTATCATATTGATCTAAATCTTCTAATGGTGGTAAAAATAAATTTTGCATTTGTTGGAAATCATTATAATCTTGCGCCTGCGACTGCGACTGCGACTGGGGTTGTGGGGGTAGTATATTTGAAGCACTTAATGACTGTGATGGATATACTAAACTCGAAGAAGGTAAAGTTGTACTTTCTTGAGGGAATGTTAAACTCGAAGAAGGTATAGTTGATGGATTAAAACTACTTGCTGGTTGTAATGTTAAACTTGAAGAAGGTACTATAGTTGATGGATATTCTAAACCAGATGATTGGGGGAGTGTTAAATGTGAAGAAGGTAAAGACGACGGTGGATTAAAGCTAGATGATTGAACACGTGGCACTGACATTAACTGTGCTCCTGCTGAGCAGAACGACTAGCGGCTGCTTGCGATGCTAAATCCGATTGGTATTCCATTGGATAAGGAGAACTAGACATAGAAAAGGAGGGATGAGTGGATGACCAGATTCCTGTTTGATTTGGAGTTACTAATCCTGGAAACACATCTGATGATCTGACATATTGAGATTCTGGAAAAACATCAGAAGATCGAACACTCGGAGTAAATGAACTTTTAATAATATCAGCCGCACCTTTTAATGGTTTAACTACTAAATTAGATACACCAGATGAAGCTAATTTTCCTAAAGCCGATGCTGATGCAGATGATAGATCTCCTACAGCTGAAGCGAGGTCTCCTACAACGGAAGAAGTACTACTACTACTCACTGGCTCCGTTAGTATTTCTCTTTGAGCTTGTTGTTCTCTTGTATTTCTTTGTTTAATCGTTGTGATTCTCTATTTATGTTTTGAAGAGCTACTGTTCTCTCTCTTTCTTGAGCTAGTTGTTGTTGTAAAGCTGTGATGGCGTCTTGCTGTGCCTGTGGCTGTGGTTGCGCCTGCGCCTGTGGCTGTGCCTGCGCCTGTATTAATTTTTGTCGCAGTTGATTAAGACGTTCTTGTTGTTGCTGTTGTTGCATTTGTTGATTAAAAAGCTCTTCTTCTTGTTGTTGTTGTGCCCACCGTTGGTTTAGTAGTTGTTGTTGTAAATCTTGTAATTGCTGTTGTTGGCGAAGGTCCTCTTGCTGATCACGAATATCATCTAAATCCTGCTGGTTTATGATAGCAGGTCTCCTCCGCCTTTGCGGGTGTCGCAGTCTCCGTGGGCGTCGTGGTTGATCTACATAGTTTCTTGCATCGAAAAACTGGTCGTCGTCGTCGTCGCTGGGGTCACCGTCGTCGACTCCTCTTCTGTCGTCTCCGCTGTCGCCACCGTCCCCGCTGTCGCCGTATAAAATTATCCTGCCGTCTCTTCCCCTAGGAAATCTGTCAGCATACCTACCTTGTGGTTGTTGATCTTGCTCCGCTTGCTCCGCTTCTTCTATTCTTGCATTAAGTCTTTGTAATTCATCTAACATCAAATTTTGTGTTTTAGTGCTTGCGTCTTGTGACTCCAAAAGTACTTCAAATGCTTCTCTAAAAGCTTCACGCGCTTTTTGCTTTTCAAGCTCTTTACGCTTTATGTTTCGTCTGACTATCTTTGTAAGAAAATCAGCCTCGATTTTATCTTGTGAAAGTTTTTTGGCTTGGGAAACTTCCATTTAGCTAATACCCAGATAGATTTTCATTTTTTTCATCATTTTGTTTAGTTCTTTTGCTGGTAAAACTTTGATTGAGTTTAGATACTTTGCTATCTGAGTAAACTCCGGCACAACTCCATTGTTTCCAGCCATAATACTCCCCCCAAGCAGTTTAAGTCTGTCAATACGTTGATTAGGGTTTCTAATACCTTGTCCTGTTTTAGTTTATCTTGGTATTTCTTTACTATATTTTATCATATTTAAATATTCTTTAAGTGCCCTTTTTTGTATTTTAAGATTTTCCATATACATTTTTTCGTCTTCACTTTTACCTTTTTTTTTTATAAAGTTTTGCATGTTCTTTTCCTGCCACTTTTAAGTGATCTTCTGCTTGTATTTTTTTCCCTTCTAAATCACATTCTCCTTGGCCTAATAATTTATCAGGGGGTATTAATCCAAGATTTTGAATTTCACGTAGTTCATTTTCACCAAAATTTTTAAGAGGATCTAATTCTAATTTTTTTGAGTTTTTTTTTTCCATTTTTACTTGTAGATGGTTTTTTTCCAAATTCTTCTTCCTCATCTTCATCTTCATCTTCATCTTGTTGTCCCTGCATTAAAGCTAACAGAGCTTTTTGGTTTCCTACTAGGCCATCCGTAATAGCTTTTTGATTGGCTCGAACTCCTTCTGTAAGAGCCAACTGATTTCTAAGCCTTTCTTGGTTTTGTGTGTAAATATTGCGCGTTTTGGTGTCCTCAGGTTTTTCAAACTGGGAAATCAGAGGTTTAAATGACTCACGAAATCCTTCTCTCTGATTTTGGCGCTCCCAAGTAGTTTCTTTTATTCGACTTCTTACCTGTTTGGTAAGATCATCGGATTCAATCTTATTTTTAGCCCAAGTTTTAATTTCGTTAAAGAGCAGGATAAGTACAAGAGACTAATCCAAAAGATGAGAGAACTAAGTATGAAACTGGGCCTTCGGTATGACATACTTCATGTGAGTAATGATGAAATAACCCCAGTGACAGAAATGGATTACGAAGATAACCAAAAGGTGGTAGTATTTGATGATTACGTCTGTGATAAAAACCAGACACAAATCATTGATTATTTCATTCAAGGACGTCAGAAGAATTGTTCGGTGATTTATCTAAGTCAGTCGTTTTACAAAACTCCAAAGGATATTCGACTGAATTGTTCTCACTACTGGCTGTACGAATTTCCATCATCGCGAGAAGCAAACAGAATATCATCTGAGTTGGGAGTTGACAAAGAAACGTATAAAGCAGCAACTAGAAAACCGTTCACATTTCTCTATGTGGATAAAGAAATTCATTGCAAAAAACTTCACTGATTATATCTCTACGAGCTAATTGTAGGGGGATTGCATCCCCCCAAAACCCCCCTGCTTTTATATAATTATTAAATAAAATGGGAATATTTAACGAACAATCTAATAATCATTCATTTGCCAGGGGAATTCAAGGCGCTCCAGGTGTTGGATTTAATCTCACCGCAGATGGAAATTATGATATGGTTGGTAAAAAACTAACAAATCTTGGTGATGGCGTAAGTCCAAGTGATGCTGTTACACGCAAACAATTGGACAGCTCTGGGTTTGGTGATATAAAAGCTGATATTAATTTAAAAAATTCTTACAATATTAAGAACAGCAAAAAGAGAACATTTGGTCAACTCAAAGCAGATACTTAATCATTAGTTAGTTACGAAGAAGTAAAAGAAAACTTTATTGGATTAAACGAAGCAGAAGCAATGCAGACGTATTTGGATATGGGAAACAACTTTATTAACAGAGTTAAGACTCCAACTACAAACGACCAAGCTTCAAATAAATCCTATGTTGATCAAACAGCAACAAATACATTAAACGCTACAGCATTAATTCATGCAACAAAAGCAGAACTTGCTGATTATCTCAAAAAAGATGGAACAACCCCAATGACTGGAAATCTAGACTTGAACAACAATCGAATATTTCATCTGCCAGCTCCAACTGGGCCAAAACAACCAACACCATTAGCTTTTACAGATTTTAAGTATCTCCACGTTGCTGGAACAAATAAAATGCTTAATAATCTAAACATGGACAACAAAAGTATAAATAATTTAAGACCGCCGACAGCCCCCACAGATGCTGCAACCAAAAAGTATGTAGACGATAACACAGCTGCTCCAGATTTAAGTGATTATTTGGAAAAAGACGGTACCGTCGCTATGACTGGAGACTTGAATCTTAACAATCATAAAATAAAGAATCTGGGTGATCCAACCGAAGACAATGAAGCGGTAACCAAAGATTATGTCGACAAACTAGTTCATCATACTGCAGCTCAACCAAGTCATTACAACGACCAGTTTGCTTATCTTATGTCTAGTGGGGCTCAATGGACTGATGAAACAGATGGTGGAAATAGTTTTTTGTAAATAAGATAGAAAACTTACCACCTTCAAAAGGTAACTTTCACGATTACAACCATAAAGTAATTTTCATAACAATAAACAAAAATTCTCAAGTTGGATATAAGTATAAGATGGGAATTAATTTTTACAGGTTAACTGCAAATGCTGATTATACTCTGTGTCTGGAAATACTCAACACTGATTATCAGCTGTGGCAAAAGTCTCAAATAACTGTTGATAAAGGAACTTCAACAGGATTATCAATTGGAAATGTTAGTGTAAGGAAGCTCTCCCATAGGTACAGCGATTCAAAGGGACAAACACAATTTATGTATTACCATAGAATAATAGTTAATTTTAAGAAGTTGTCAACTGGTAATAAATTCTTTCTTCACATTTTGGTTAATATACCACAGACGGGAACTGATCTGGGTGTGTATCTGAGACAGTTTTCAGGAGTTTATATGATTGCTTATGGAATCATGGGAGCAGTTAGCAATATCGATCCAGATAAAACCTACGACTACCACACCGCATTTGATATTAGACCAACAGAAGTTGTTTACAATGTTGATATTAATGCAAATCAAAGAACAATTGGAAATATCAAACTTGATCGAAACGATGACAATAACGTGGTAACAGTTGGAATGGTAAAAGAGTTAATTCCTTTTACCAAAAATATTTTGTATAGAAAATATTTTGAAGAATACTATGACTTTTCTAATGCGAATATTTACGGAATAAATATAGTCTCGTCTGGGGTTATTATCAATTCTTTAATGCCTAATATTACACTACCACCTAATAAAGACCTAAGTAATATACAAAAAGATGGCTTAAATGTAAATGGTTATAATATTACTTTTTCTCCTTCACATTCTTCAAAAACTACTTTATGTATTGTTTTTAAACGTTGGAGAAATAGGAATTTTAGCCTAACTAAATATATATCAACAAACAATAATACTTTATTAAAATTAAATTATGATAAAACAAACAATTCAGTAGATTTAACTGTCAGTAAAACAACTCAAAGTTTTACAATGCCAAGTAGTTTTAATCGCCAAAAAATTGTTTTATGGCTGACAGAAAATTTTGATACAAATGTCACAAAAGTTAAAATAAGTAACTACAGTTCGACAATAACTATACCAGCCGTTCAATACAATGTTAATCAACGTTGGAAGTTTACAACTGAAGATGGAGAGTTAAATAGGTTAATGTTTTCTCCAAACTTTTACGACTTTGACTCTGAGCAATTTCACAAAGTAATGCTTCAAGAAAAGTTAAGTGGATCTTATATATTTAAGATAGAAATGAAGGATATCTTTGAATTTAATCACATAGACAGGTCTCTGTCAGAATCAGACGTCGGTTGTCTCAAAGATTTTTATAAACATTATCACAAGAAATACTGGTGTTTTAAGCGGTCGTATAAAAGATATAAACTACTAGATGAAACACTTACTCTGACGGGAGGAGGATTAGTGGTGATAGGAACTATCACCGGAGGAATAACACCAAATCCAATAATACTCGGTGTAATAAATGGCGCTGGCGTTATTGGAATTACAAAAAAAGGATTGAAATGTCACAAATAGCATTTACAACATATGACAAAGTATTGGTTGAACTGCGTTCAGCTCTGAGGGGTGATGAGTTTAACAAACAAGAGTTTATTGATCGCATGAAACTAATAGATGAGATGATAATTGATCAAACTCCTTTAGCAGATAGATTTGTTAAAAAGTATAATAAAAAGTTTATGTGAGTCTTCTTATTTGAGTTGAGTTCATTTCTATCTATACATAAGATAGAAATGAGGAAACCTCAAATGATAAATACAATTGTAGCATATGTTAATTTTCACTTTCCCAAAAATAAAACACAGTTTTACTGTGATAACTTCATTAAAGCTTGTCTTGTTTATCAGTATCTCTATGCAAAATACTTTACTCAGAATATAAACATTAATCAAATAATTTATCAACTCTCTGACGCAAGACATAGTTGTAAATCAAAATCAACTGTACTAGCCAATCATTTAATATTTAGCCTCGCTTTTCGTTCATTTTGGAAACGGTACCGCCTTGGACGAGGTTGTGTCTATGCCATTAATTCACCATTTAGAACGTATGAATTACTTGGTCTTCTAACTGGAATTGTTTACTGGTGCTTTCACAGAGGAGTCGTACCCTCCCTTGGTTAGCTAGAACTGCGTTAGCTACGCCGCATTGTTTAGAGATTTAAAACATTTCCACCACTTTTCATAATTCGCCAGAGTTTGGGGAGAAATTTTAAGATAAACTAGTTTGCTCGCTTTGCTCGATTCACCTCCCATTTCTTCCAAAATTTTTTTGATCAGATAAAAAATACTTATCATTCCCTTTCGACAAAATTGTTTGTTTAGTATTTCCATTACGCGGTTGTCTATCGTCATTAGTTTATTGTACAGGCCGCACTTTTGTTCCTCAGTTAAGTGTAATCTTTTAGAAACTTGATCAACCTTTTTTTCATAGTGATACTTTCTCTGATAAATACTCTTCTTTCGAAAATGTAATCGATCATAATCTTTCTGGTCATAATACCCCAAAACATGGCCGTTACTCACACCACAGGAGTCACAGATGCTATAACCTGAATTAACAAAGAAACAGTCCCTTCCGTCACTTTGACAATTCCAACATTTAATTTTTCTATCCTCCTCTACTGCTTGGTTGGTAGAGGCGTTATTGTAATTATTTAATATTTCTAGATATTTTTCTATTTGCTCTTCTGTATAGCTCATCTATTATTAATATTCTACTATCTTAAAGCAGTTTACCGTAAGGCCAACGTATGAACACAATCCTTTAAGACCTCTCTTTTATCGTCATCATTACTCAAAGCTATTTTATTTACTTTCTTTGAGTAGAGGTCCTGATTTTCACTTCTTATAATTTTCATCGACTTCATCTGCTTCTCACCAGAAAACAAACACTGGGTGTAGTCCTCAAATGAGATTTCGCGTTTAACAACATTTTTCTTAACGCCTTTACACTTGCGAACTTCGTCCGACTTTTTGGTTATTCCACCCACCCCTCCTGTAGTCGGGTCCTCAACCTTAAAACTATAAAGCTTTGGACGAAGACCAACAAAATGAGTAATCTGGCGACCAGCTACTTCATCTTTAAACATTCCTATTACTTTTTTGTTAACTCCTGTTTTTATACCAGATGGGTGATTAGGGGGATAATCAGATGTGTCAAACTTAGTTTCTATGTCATAAAATATATCACGATAAAAATCATCCGTATGGATAAGATACAAAAGTGAGTCAGTATCTGTAAACATTAACTCTGCTGCATCGTTGTATTTCTTTGGGATGTAATTACAATGAAAATTAAACATTAATGTTTTTGACAGATCAAGTATTGCTTGTCCAACATATACTGGTTTGTTGAAATAAACTTCAGTTTTCTTCATATGAACTGCAATAAGATTTTTATCAAATATTGTTGAGCGGTTAAAGTTTGGACGACTTGTTAGTTTTACAGCTTTGTGGCGATTATCAGCAAGTATTATATTTTGTCTTTTTCTCATGTTTTCTATTGTTTTTCCAAATACGGAATTATTCATTAGTTTAAAAAGTCTTTCTCAAAACTGTTGACTGCTGTTTTTCTAAGTTCTGTATTCTTTCTGATGTAAGGTTCCATCCAACAACTCTGATTAAAAGATATTCCTCTGTGAACAGCAGTTATTCTCATTCCCATCTCAAGATATTGTCTTAAATTTCGCTAATGTACAACATAGGTTTTCCTCGGTTTAAAATGACAAATTAGTTTTTCAACACCGTTAACAATCATTTTCCCAGGTGCAAGTGGATAGTCATTATGAGCCGTCCATAGATCAGGGGGGTATTCCAAATCTACTTCAAATATATATCCGCTGGGGGAGTGCCTCCCCCCGAAACCCCCCTGCTCCTTTGGGTCTGTCATACTACAGTTAGCTTTATCAAGAATGCTCATTTGGGTTCCTATTGTTAGGTTTTTCATCCATTTAAATCCATGTGTGGGAAGTGATTGTGGCATTGCCCATCCATAAAGATTGTTTGCATCAAGGTATTGAATACAAGTAGAAGGTTCATCAGGATCGTAATCTTTCATGTATTTGTTATTCGCCTGCCCGTATCTTTTTGATATGTGTGATATTCCTCCACGAATTCCTCTTTCAAACATCATCAACATGTCATAATCATGCAACAGTTGTAATTCTTCGCCTGTTTCTTTGAGACATGCATCCCAAGCTAGTCCAGGAGATGTATAGTAATGTACTGGATCTAGATTGTAATGGTGAAGACAAGTTTGTCTAAAGTTCACAAATACATCTGCCAACAAGAGAACATCAGACTTTAGGTAAACATCGTGATAATCTCTAATTGTTTTACATTTGAATGTATTCCAGACATTAATAGCGTGTTGATAATCATCATCTGATATACATTCATCATTTAGTTTTGAATAGAATTCTTCTTTTGGAGGTAATTGTGTTTCAGATAGGTTTTCGATTGAGGAAACATAATCATAAGGATAAACTCCCTTACGAGTTAGTAGATCTACATTTTCCCTAAATATTTCTTTTGTTTTATAAAAATCATCTGGTTGTAAATTTTTAACAAGATTGGCAAGACTCGTTTGAAGAAACTTGTAAGAATCAATAAATCTTAACTCCATATTCAAAGAAACATTTTTTCCATCTCTAGATTGGTACTCATCAACTTTAATCTTTTTGGAAAAAGAAATGTATTTTTCTTCTGTTGAAGGAATATAGGTGAGGTCACCTTTCAAACTAGACAACTGTTTAATAAACAAATGAGCATCGTACCCTTGAAGATTGTGAAACACCACTGGAATAATCATTGGTTTTCGACATTGTAAGTTACAATTCCGATAATAGTATAAAGAATTGGTTTAAATGTTTTACCAGGAACAATCCCTTTAATATAAAAACAAAACCCTGATGGTTCATGCTTCTGGTAATTATAAGAGTATGAGTTTTCTGGATTAGGGCAACAGCTCCCCATTGGTTTAGTAACACATTCAAAACCAGCATAAATTACAAAAGGAATTGGAAACTGTTTGTTGTAATTTTGAAACTTGAGAATAGTTTTTGAAGGGGGCATTTTTACGGCAGGTGATTCATTAGATAAACAATAAGCGGTGTGTTTTAGTAACAAGTCTTCCTTTGTAAAATGAGTAAAACATCTCTTACAAATATAAATTGGCTCATTTGTTCTTGTTGTTATTTGAGAGCGAAAAAGACGAGAAAAGTTTTTGATCAAAGAGTAATGATGTTATCCATCCTCTTCATAAAGAAATAAGTCTATTGTTTTATGGGGATCTCGTAACGCCATTCGGAGGGGATAAAACTTTTTAGACTCATTAACTGAAAAAACATTTATTCCTGGAATATCTGGATTAGGGCTTTCAAATTTGGAAATGTCTCTTATTTTAACTGGAAAAGTAAATCCCCTTGGAATATTAAGCTCATGCTCATACTGATAGAGGTCTGTCAAACGGGAGTCGTTCTTTTCTCTTGGATGAAGATACCGAAGTACAGACCAAAGAAAACATTTAGAATCATTGTTTCTCAAACTCACAATCGCTTTTTTTCTCATAATCCAATCTGGAAGAGGAATATAAGACCCCCCTTTCATGGGATAATATTTAACAGTATGAATTTCTAGATTAACTATCTCTTTAAAATACCATCCACTTCCATTTTGTTGGTAAATATTTACCTTTTCAAGAATAGTATGAATAACTTTAGCAAGGAGGTCCTTTTCATCAGTTGACTCAAGATTAATATACAAATTAGAATAAAAATAGGCTTTATCCTGGACTTTAAACAATAATTTTTTATTTCCTTCCTGTTTCTCCATCATACAAACCAACACAAACCTAACTTTAGTATTTTTATGATTTTTTAGAAACTCCTTTAGGTACTCTTTCTGTCTTCTAAAAAATTCTAGAGGAAGTAACCCAGGCTCACAAACAATTATATATTTGTTAGCAAAATCTTCAAAAGCAGATTTTTCTCGTACTATCCCTTAGGTGTGTTCTCTCATAGCTCTCTCAAGAGCTTTTCGTGAATATAAAGGAGTATCTGGAGGTATTCTTTTATTTTGTATACACTCTTGAAAATATTGTTCAAAAGTTTTTGGTTTTTTTTACTTTCGGTTTAGGTTTTACCTGTTCTGTTTCTTTACGTAATTTTTTTTTATTTCATCAATCAGTTTTGTTTTATAGAGTTTTGTATAACCCTTTTTTAGTTTTTCTAATTCAGAAATAGAAAGTTTGTTCAAATCAACAGGCATTTTATTTATATATTTATTTTTTCTTTAAATCATTTTTTTGTACCTCAAAATAGTTTTACCCCCAAAACAAGTTTTGTATCAATGGAATGATATAAAACTAAAATCCACAAGGAATATAGGGGTCAACAATCTCATATGGAGCATTATTCCTTCCTCTGGGAATAATCTTAGATCTAAATCTTTTAAGTGTGTTATAGAGATTAGTAAAACCTGGATAATAAAAATCTATATCATCAACATCTGTTTCACAACAACCTACATAATCTTCAAAATTATCCTTTATACCATTCACAAGTTTATCAAGTACTATAAAGTGTTTAAGATCATCATATTGAATTTTCGTTGGAATACAAATCTTCTTTTGATAAAGATCTAAATACCTTTTTACTTTATCTAACCGATTATCTAAAGTATTGTATCTCTGAGACTGAATTAAATTTACGTAGTATTTAAAGCATCTCTCAATCCCTGTTATCAAAAGAAACTCCTTTGGATAATCACTGGCGTAACTTGGGATAACCTTTGTCATTTCTAATTTATTATATTTATTTCTTTAACCTTTATTTTTTTAACCTAATTTTTATTGTTCTAAATCACAATAATTCATTCTTCTGACCAGAGTAAATTTACACTCCAGAAATTAGCCGATTCAGGATTAGTAAAAGTTAACTCTCCCTGTTTATTCTTAATATTTTTAGCTCGAGCGAGATATCTCTCTTTTCGCTCTTTGTCTTTATGAATTAAAAAGTCTGGATATTGCGCTGACCCAAAATTAATTTTCTTTCCAATTGGAAGTGTTGCTACATATTTGTTATTTTTACGAGTTGAATAATCAAGAGATTCAGCACCAAGTTTTTTAGCTTTTTTGGTAAGTTTTTTAAACTCTTTACCAGTAACAACATTGTTGTCTTCATCTGATGAGGAGGAATCTTTAGGCTCATATGTTGGGTCCTCATCATGATTATAACTATCGTCACCTATAAAATTTTTGTCTTCTTCTGTTGGAATATCAATAATGGATTCCATTTTTATTATTTAATTAGATTATTTTTGTTGGTAAATAAACATATAGTAGTCATAAGGGGATGATTTTCCAGCTTATGTCTCATTGGTACTTTTTCCCTGTTATTCACTCTAGAGTAGTTACTAAATGCTGACTTACCGCTCACTCTTTGTACACCATTAAATGGAAATAACAGAAAAATGTTAGAAAAGATTAGTTTTTTACTGCAGGGACAGCCGGGGGAGGACCGACCGGACCGATCGAACCGACCGAACCGACCAAAGGGAGGGGAGGGAAGGGAGGGAAGGGAGGGCCGAACGAGGGGAAAGGGCCTGCAGGAAATGACAAGCTTTTCTATCATTTTCCTGATTAATTCCGTTAAATTGGGGTACTAAGGGTGAGTGGTAAGGCAGCATTTAGCAACTACTGATAATATCCCATATAACCTTTCGGGATTGTCGCCTGCACATTTTTTCCGGCAACCTATCTCGAAATAGCTATAGGCGACTACATCTTTAATTCTGTGGGTTAATTCGTAAGCTAAATAGCAAAAACGCAAACAATAATGACGTCACGATGAATCTGCCTTTAACCAAACCCAGTGGCAATAAATTGTAAGTCGGCAGTTGCCTTGATTCTAACGTTTCCATGTTTTGATGAAAAATCGCCTCTCATACATGACGGGCTTAGGCTACAAAAAAAATTCTGACCAGGAGGTCTTATAATCTCGTACATTTACTTGTCACCGCCTGCCGGAAACAATCAATAAACCTTTTTTTTCTCTCAGTATCTTGTTTCATTTTTTAGATTTACTGAGGTTTTCGCGACTGTCGCGTGTGAATATTTCGCTAAAGGTTCTGTCGCTTTACTTTATAACGCTGGTTGCATTTGCGAAGCTATGAGCAAAATGGCTACAATTGTAGATTTCTAATTACTCCTGGCAAGTGTTAAATCTACTTTAATTTAACGGGAAGATGCCGGCAAAACGAATCCGTTTTAACCTACGTCAAGTTCGACCATTGCACTGCTAAACGAGAGTGGCAAATTATTTCTGTAGGAAATCCACACTTGCTTATCGACTTTGGTAAGTTTAACTTTGTTTAGCCGAGCAATTGCTGGTAAATCGTAATTTTTAATATTTCAGTTTTTTGTTGATGAAAAATACCGAGAAAAAATATCGAGCACAAATTATTTTTTTTCGCACGTGTTCTCTGACGATGTATTTCACATAATTTTTGATAATGTATTACAAAAAGATTCTGTCCAGATTTCTCGATATTTTATCAATTTTGCTCTATCACGCGCCGCCCAACAAACGATCGTTAGCTTCTAGCATTTGGAGCTTTCCCATTTTGCTTTTGCATTTTGATCACCGTCTCATGAAAGTGCTTTTAATTATTTCTGGCGGAAAATATGTACCGCGCGTGTTTGTTTGGCGTCCAGATCAGTGACATCAGTAATCACGGAAAAAGGAAGAGACTCCAGACAGGTAAGAAAACTTAATAATTATATCAGTACCTGAAATCTACAGTTAACTCGTAAAAATGCTCTAATCAATGCTGTAGTATCCTGGGTAGTGTATACCTAAAATCTACAGTTCACTCGTAAAAATGCTCTAATCATTCCTGTAGTATCCTGGGTAGTGTATACCTGAAATGTACAGTTAACTCGTAAACTGCTCTTATCATTCCTGTAGTATCCTGGGTAGTGTATACCTGAAATCTACAGTTAAGTTGCTAAAACACTCTAATCAATGCTGTAGTATCCCGGCTAATGTATACCTAAAAAATACATAACATTGACTTATGGAGGTGATAATCTTATTCAACTCTTACTCTTTTTGAACATTCATAGTCAATTAACAGCTTTCTCTCAATCCATCTTATTTTTTTAGCACGCGCTCGAACTTGATTTTGGCACGAGTGTTGCCTTTAACAAAGCGGAGTAAAAGAGCGGTATAAGAGCATTTATTGCAGTATTTTGTGTTAGTGGTCTATGAGGCTCTGAATTTTGCGATTTTACAATAATGAGATATCGCCAGGACTATTTCATTTGCTTGATATAAAAGCAGTACAAAAAAATCTTAAATCATATCGGTACTTGTCCGTTAATTGTTGTTTTTGTCGGCTTTATAAGGATTTGATGGATTTGATGCCTTTACATACTGATACAGGACCATGAAGTAGTTAGCGCGTTTGTTAAATTTGGTAATGTTCAATTAGAGTCTAAGGAGCTACGTTTACGAATTTTACGAAAAACATTTTCCCGGCCTTTTAGGAAGCGGCTTAAATAGTTTCAAAGTTGCAGTGCAGTCACAAAACTGAATTCTTGAGTTTACCTCCATTTCATACTATCTTACTGCCTGAGACTGAAAAAGGCGCTATGTAAAATGTTTATGCCGTTTTATTACTACCGAAATAGTAAGTGCCTCGGAAGAGTGGTTAGCGGAGTAGAAAAAGATTTAAACCTTGCTTTAATCGGATATTGCGGTTACTTTCATTTCAGTTTATGGTAGCTTGAGTTACTCTTTTGTGGGCAATTTACGGAAGTCCTAGGGTATTCAGCCGACACCTCAAGAGCCTAGAGCTGTCAGACCTTGGTTTTGAATTACTTATGCAAATTAGCTGGCTGCACATTGAATGTGCAGCCAGCTAATTTGCATAATTTTTTTTTTCGCCCTTCAAAGCTCGTCATGCACCTCAGTTCAAAGGAACAAACAGTCCTTACAGTCCCCTTATAGTCAAACGACGATCAGTATACCTATCAGTTTATTAATCAATGCAATGAGCAAGTCATTTCCGCCTGTTTGTAAAATAACATTTTTTAAACCATAGTTAATTAAAGTGGAATGGTTGGGAAACCCTTTGTTATATGTTGTTGTTTGCTTTTTAGGACCTGAACGTGCACAACGTTCGATTGCTTTCCTATCATTTTGAACTTACTGTCCAATAGAAACATTGCGTTAATTTATTCAGTCACAATTTGTGAACAAACAACAAAGGATTGTGCACGGTCAGGAAGCTTCCAACATAACCTACAGCACCAGTGTTTTCAACTTTCATGTTTGCGGGCTTTCCTAATCAGTCTCCTCTATATACTATGTTTAAACATGCCCAGGCAGCGCAAACAGAAATCGAGTCAATAAATACACAAACAACAAGTCAATGAAACCGATAAACTTTACTTGGCCTGTAGATTAATCCGAATGATTAGAAAATTATTGTAGAAAAACGAAAAAGTACAAGGAATTTGTCGATATATATTCAATAACTAATTAAAGAATCTAAGTCTGCATGCAATTACTTTCAAAGTCAGTTAAACATTCTGTTCAATTTTCTTGTTCTTTAAGTTTCCAGCAAGGGTGAAAAATAGATGACTTATTATTCTGGTGTAGATCGTTTTGCCTAGGCCACTTTTAGTAAATGTATTAATCTAAGGGTTTGTTTCGTACACTACAAGTTATCTTAAGGTATTTCAAAAAAAATCATCACTGACAAACTACTTACATCGGTCCATTGCTAGAACTACAGATTTGCGTTATCCAGGTTCAGAAGTCCATTGTCGATCGGTTGACGTCCAGGCACTTTCCCAAAGTGTTTTATTTTTCAAATTAAACGTTTTCTATAAAAATGCACCAAAGAAAATAATGGAACAGACGAAAATTCCGTTGGCCTACGTTGTTCAAGGTGTTTGTCCGAAATTGTGGGTATTAACCCCCGCAGGCACTCTCTTGTCACGTCCTTTATCATGATACTTGACTACGACAAAAAAAAAAGACATTCTCAAAATAAAACAACAAAACAGGAACCAAAAAAGCCTTTTGCCCCAACAAAGAAAACTCTTATTTAATAGGAAATTTATCTAGCCACTGAGTTGAGTTGAGTTTAATCAGAATACCAATTGATGCAAAACGATGCCTTAATTTGTATGTTATCAGAAGGAGTTAACCGGGCCTCCTCGCAAACTCCTAGCTAAGAACAAACAAAAAAGACATCCTGAAAATACTTCTGTTATTGACTAGCCTGTCTAGACAAACGCTAAATAATTAGATCCGAATTGCTTTAGTATTGTCTCAGTGTCTTTTTGTGCCTAGATTGTATTGTTCAGCCTACTTTGGAGAGTGTTCGGACAATCAGTTATTCTATGGTTAGCATCGAAGTCGTTTTATTCACCAGCTCGCAAGGGTTTCTCGCAAATGGTAATCGCGTTGAATCCCGTGGTGTCACATCTTATATCATTCCACTTATGTGTCCCATACATTCCTGATACCAGCATCTCAGTGCAGAACTCGCGGCCAAGAGCGTTATTTGGTTCCCCTGGCGACCAGTTGATGTAGCTTCCATATAAGGTTCGTCCATCCACCCACTGAAAAGGACTTTGGGCGTTTTCTTTTGTTAGACCAAGCCACAGTTGTACCTGGGTCATGTTTTTCTCTTTGATATGGGTCTAAAATTTAATTACTTTATTTGGTTAAGTCTGACACATCACTTTACATAGTTTCGTCGAGCAATTCATAGGACTAAATTTAAAGTTACCGTTATTTTGCCTTGCATTGTTTCTCAAGATTACATTACTCGATCTATTTCTGCTACCGCCCAACGGATGTAGCACACCCCAATTACAAATCAGTGCAACTAAAACCTCAAAAATTATTAGTCGAGATTGCTTTACTTAGCAGAGCGAGCCTCAAAAAATGCGGGGTAGTTGAGCACCAAATAGTAGGCCATGCTTCCAGGCGTTCCTAGCGGAGACCGTGGAAACTGGGGATAAGAATCGTGACGACTTTCATTGTATGCAAATGAGTCTCGTGATGAGCATGTGGTTTATTTTCGGCGATGACTGAAATGACGCATGTAAGTTGATCACTTTTTCTATTTTTGGCAAAGATGTAATTTTCCCCGAATCTAGGCCCTTGATTTTCGTGTAATTGTGCACGCGTATTAAAAAGTAAATACCCCGAAGAGAAAATATTATAGCGAGGAAATCCTGTTTTGTGGTGTACTGAGTACTGAGGCGTTACGTTTCTCAGAATATTGTCGCAATTACCAGAGCTCTACGGTTAAATAGGTTCACTTTGTATGTATTCAATTGATAGATTTTCGCAGTTGTTAAGATGTGAAGTCGCGTTGTACTTTATAATCAAATACTTGAGATATCAATGATTTAACCTTCCACTACTATTCGAAGCAACTTCAACTACAGTATGTGGTCCTTGGTCCGGACGAAAAGGGCGTAAATGAGTAAAACTTACCTTAGAAGAAGAGTAGCGAGCTGAAATTTGTAGCGAGCTGAAATTTCTACTAACTTGTGACAAACCGACAGATTCTGGCCTTTGCCACAAATCTTGTATCAAAGAAAATGGCCGCTTCATTTAAAGGCCCCTGGTCCGGCCAGCGGGTCCTTGGTCCGGCCACTTGGGACACATTGAAAGCGCACGGAAACTGTGCTCAAAAAGAAACGTTTCAATGACTATCTAGTACTATGTTTTCCATAGATATCATTTAAACTTCGAAAACTAAAACGAAGTGTCTGCGTATAGAGCTCAAGATTGGTTCCAGGAACAAGTTAAATAGCACTTAATTTCAAGAGTCAAAATTACTGTTTTTGAATGCGAAAATAACATATTACTTTATTTAGACTTTCTTACATTACTAATTTTTAACTAATCTCCAATTTTAAAACGTTCCTCTCCTGCGTTGTTTGCACAGCAGATTGAATTCTGTTGATGACCTCTTTTTCTCTACCATCTTTTACAAGTACAGAATACAGACAAGGAATCACGGCTCCTCCACCAACTGACTGTGGCGCCGGCCATGGTTGAAAACTCTGGCACGGGTCCCCTGTTTGTACACAACAAAAGGAAATGTCAAAGTTAAATTAACCTACCTTTATTTAGATTATTTTCCTGAGCATGAAAGATTTAGAACTGGTAACAACACTAACGCATTTTCGATTCTTTCAATGAAATTGTGTCATTTTGTGGGCTGAGTGATATACCGTAGCCAATGATTTAACGGCGTTGGAAAATGACGATTATCATTATAAAAATTGAATCAAAATTGCCATCAAATATATATATATATATATATAAAAAAGGAAATAAAACAGTTGTAACGAAATCTCAAGTTGTTATGACACCTTTTAAAACTTTTGTGGCTTAAGATATGAGCCTTTCCCTAGTCTTCTAACTTACTGTATTCATATAACTGAAATGAGTACATGGAACAGTGCCCAGCTAAATTTTAAAAGTGTTAAAAATTACCATTCAATGCTTTCAACATTAGCGGGAACCCAGCAAGTTCCAAAAACAAGAGGGCAATCCGAAGGTTACTCTTCCGATAGGCAGACCTCCTTTCCTCGGAGGTCGAAACCTGTTTCATCGCAGTTCCAAATCTGTGCCGGCTTATCTGCTAATCCATCGTCCTTCAAGAATTCCTCATAGCCCGCAAACCACTTGTCTAGGTCTTCAGCCCTAAATTTGAGCGCGTTTTTTTCTCAAAGGGCGTGCACTTATTAACTTTATCATCGGGTTTTTCTGCAGGAAGCCACGATATCATTTTCTTCCTGGTCTATTTCCTGGAATGGGAGTTGTTTGCTGGTCCTTGTCGAGGAGTACCTTCACAGAGATGAGCTAAACCCACGTTTGGACCTTTCCCCCAACCAACTAACCTATCTCTCTTCCTCTGTTGGGGTGATGACCGGAACTTGTCCTTTACCTGATCTGCTATATCGTCCACTCAACCGATCTGGCAGGGTACTTCTGCACTAAATTTTCGTATAC